TACCCTCAACATTATTTGCAGATCACTTGGACAAAGCTGTTCAATCTTCACTCTCCTCCATCCATTAAAGGATTACTTCTCTACTCCATCTACTCGGACGACTCCTCAGTATTCACTTTGTCCGACCTTGTCGACCTAGTTGTCTGCCCAACAGACCGCGCACCGCTTCCTTGCTCATCCGAGGTGTCCAACCGTGGAACCCTTGAGCACTTGGTGGGTTCATCTACGCCGAAGCATTTTATCAAGGGGGATATGGCTTGAGGAAGAAAAGTGGTCTAACTCTTCTTTAACACTCTTTAAAGCACTACATTTTAGTGGAACAGAAATCTGACCAGCGCGCGGTGTAGTACAGTTGCAATAGTGATTAGCAGAGACGGTTGGTTGTAATGGCTTCATAAAGCATTTTCTTTTATCAGGACCTAATTTCAATCAGGGCACCTTGAACAATACAGAAATTATACTTTGTGTACCACTATATGGTGTGCTCTGGTACTCTGGTGCGACTACAGTAAACAATAGACAGATACCACCCTCATATGTTAGTGATGTTCCTGGATAATCGGCCGAACCCCTACTAGAAGAATTACTAGAAGATCCCCTAGTAGAATTACAAGCGAGCTGCACCCTAATCGTTTAACCTTGTGTTATATTTGTTAAAATTTTCCAAAGCTACTATTACTACTGCGAAACTGTAGGATTTACTTAACGTAGATCAGAAATTCATTTGACTTTACTAACCTGTGGGGAGAAGTATAAAACGGAGTGAAAGTGAAATATTGAAATTTAACCATAATATCCAATTCACCTATCTATTGGTTGGAGGTATATGGTTGTACGAGCATTTTCGAACTATTAAAAGCTTACACTTAGTAATATTAATTTACTTCATACAATAATATCTCATACTACTTAATCCAAACGAAATTTGCTGAAAATCACCTTAAATCACAAATATGTTAAGATATCAGAATTATTTAGACCCATCGGTGTACGAAATTGAACTTTGCCGCACTAGATATTTTATTTGTAGCTTATGATTATATGTTTGTACTAATCCCGCAGGTTCTTCCCTTATATTCAAACAGATAAAAAATTGAAAACTTGTTTCACCCTTCTTCAACGCCTACCAAATAGTCGCCAACCTTCATTTTCAAACCAGATCATAATTCTTTAAAATGGTTTGTGACTAGTTCACTAATTATGTCTTTTGTATGTATATTTCCCTAATTAAACACAAAAAATACTGATTGGCGATGCATTCTTCTCCACCTCTTACTGTCTTCCTCATTTCCTCTGCTCCAGATAGATGACAGAAGGCGAGGCACATTCCGGACTTGTAAAGAAGCCGACATGAACCTACGCGTCGAGAACAATGAGTTTACTGGAGTTGGAGTCCATCCAAAGATGCATTGACATCATCATCACTTCTTGCTAAGCCTTTGTATGTAGCTATTGAAATATATCATGATTCCTTTCCAGTACAGTTGGCAATTCTATAGGGAAGAATTAGGCTGTTAACACTAAACTGTCAAAATTAGTTGCATTGTGGATCTTGGATGTAATGTAATAACCACCTCTGCAGCATTTAAATCTGGCTTAGTACCTGTCGATTAACTGCAATTGAAGACATTTTATAATCAGAAAACTTCTGTCTATTTATGGGATGGAACCAATTCACATCAATTTATATTTGCTTGTATAGACTGTTTCTCAAGTGTCTTAAGCGAATTCAAATATTAACTAATACGACTTTATAGATTTGCTTCCTAATACACTGAAGACAATATTATATTGCATCTTCGGTAGAAGAAATATTTAGTTGGTTTTGGTGCACTTTGATACGCATGTCAAAACAACCTTCAGCTTCAGTAAGAGGATGAGAAGTCTACTTGAAGAATTTGAAGTCAAAGGCTTAACGTAAGGTATATTGAGAAAAATACGTGGTCTATGCTTAACACCTAGTTTCAACCCTCAGCTGGTGTTGATACATTATACCGTCACTATTTCTAAATTCACTTTTGTCTTACACCCTCCCTTTCACCTCCCCAAAAAACAATTTCAAAAACACAATCCCAACGTTTTCACAACAGAGAAAAATGCTCATGTCATCTTGCTTAGAGCCCACCCAGTAAATCAACAAAGAAAATGGAAAGTCTCCAAGAGTGTAAAAACTCGAGGACAAAACTTGCTCGGAAATACCTTGGAAAGTAGACACGAAAGGGCAATTACCCGGCAGACGCACAAACGTCTTTTCATGAAGTCTACTCAGAAGCGATTAACCTGGATATTTTGATGATGACTCTTCTTCGCGAATTTCCTCAAGGTTGGTGACCTTCTGGTGACGTTTTTGTTGAAGAATGGGTTTTTCTTTCGGAATCTTTACCCAATATCATCTTCTTTCCAGGTCCAAAATCTTTTAATGATGATTTTAGCAATGGAAATTTTCATAGTACAATTATTTCAGATAAACTGGTCTTTCGTGGAAATGAAAACTCTCTGTTATGGTTTTTTTCTCGCTGCTTGGATGTTACCATCTTAAAAAAAAAACACTGATCAGATATACACTAGAATAGTATAACTTTACTCATCCAACGAAGCTTAGTGTATTACACAGTCTCCACTCTTGCACTCCTCTTACACGAGGTGAAATTATATAATTTCTACTAAGTAGGTTCTTTATATAGGAATTCTCACTAAGAGCTGAATGGTTGCTCAAAAAAGAAATTTCTCCTAAATTATTTATACATACTATGAGGATGGAAGCTATTGATAACTGAAACGTTAGTGATTCTAGCCACAACTCTTTTTCCCACACATTAAAGATCAGATGTCTGCCTACGGTCACCGAACCTACATCTTTGCCAAACCACGTCTGCAGGACTTTGCCCTCTTCAATGGATCTTCCAAGGGAAACATAATTTTATTCGGATAAATCCGTTTACTTATGTTTTATAATGTTCGAATGCAATTTCAGTTACTGAGATGGTAATAGTTAATGAAACAATAAGTCACAGCTTCTTCTTGTTCTCTTCTTGGTCTCCATCTTTATTCTTTCTCAATTCTTCCACATACCAAAAATCACTACTTCTCTGCGGATCTCGTAATTACTATACCCTTCCTTTCTCCTCTCCCCTTTCTTTTTTTGTTCTTTCCCTCCAAATCTGCATCCTCTAGATTCCCTCCACATATTACCCTAGTCACGTGGCTCATACCGCTATGATCATGACCAGGGACCTTCAATCGTGATGTCTCTAGGCAGTAGAACATCTTCAGTATTGCACCGCTGCAATATGCAATCCGTTGCCCGCTTTGAACGGGGGAAGTTGTAATAGCGTCGGAATTAAAAGTTGCAATTAGGTTAGATTTCCGAGGATTTTGGAAATTATAGTTAGACGTTTAGTTTTCGATGTTGGTTGAAGAGAATGGTGTTTTGCGTGTTCGGTAAGGTATCTAATTCGCGGAATGTTAATTTTGTGTTCAATGTTTTTTTTACTATACGAAAAATGTATGTCAGTTAACATTAATGTAGTATTTCATAAGGGTTGGCTACGTGTTGCGCACATTGCAAAACATATTTAAAAAGAATGGTCTAACACTAGAGCTAATTTGGTTATATCACAGAATAAGTGTATTTTTGTCATAATTCTGCGATGATTTACAAAGAATCCCCAGTAAAGTATTTTATCGGATAAAGTAGGTATTTTAGAGTTATTTACTTAATATCAATTTAATCAGAAGATACCAAACAAATTTAAACTGCTTAAAGATAAGCAAAGAAAATTACGTGCAGTAAAGAAAGTATTGGTCAAATACCAAGTAATTAACACATAATCTTTTTTTTATAAGGTAACTTTTTAACTTCAACTGAAGAAGTTCAATCCACAATACACACTCAAGCAGCGTAAGCGTTTAAAATCGATGAATAACCGGTAAAACTGAAACATCACAAGAAAGCTAAAATTAGGCGTAACACATTCACAACAATGGCATGAGAAGTTTATTGTTGGAAGAACCATCCATTGTTGGCAACCGTGTAGTTGTTAATCAGACGTGGGCTAACTGATTAATTAGCCACTGTGTGTTTCCGCAGTAATTTCTATTTGCGTTCATAATTAGACGTTTAGTCTGAATTCCCTTCAATTAACTGAAATTTCAGACCCACGCCAACGTGAATTTCGCGGTCTGACCCACACACTGTGTAATTTGATGCAGACATTGATGCAATTATGTACTAAACCTTCGAGCGTTGAGGAAGCTATGAAAGTTAAGAGGGTAATTATTCAATTTGTAACCCAGGCTGTGATAAGGTTTATTTTTCGCCTTGATGTGTTTTGTGTAATTTTAGTCATATTTGCTAGGTCTGTGGTACGAAAGATCAAAATGTGCTGTTAGGGGTGGCGTTTGTTCCACTATAGGTAGGGTTAGGTTTGGACGTAAACTAACCTAGTTTATACCCAATTTAAATTTGTTTGGTTACTTTCAACTGATGATGGTTGGATAAACTTTGAGAGTGACCAAGTATCAGGATGAGAATGGGTGGCCAAAGTGTTTCTCAACTCCGAGCCATCAAAAGACAACAACTGGTAAAATTGAAATACTACACAGGGTTTGGGCAGATGTTTATGGAAATAAAATAATCCTTGGATGGTACTTTTTTGTGTTTGGCCTCAAACGGTACTTAGGGTTGTTTTGAGAAACTTTTACTGTACTATGTGATTTCTAACAGGGTACGCACCTGGGGGGGGGGGGGTATGTAAATGGTTTTCAATTTTAGTGTTTCATTAAGTAGTGTAATACCCGTTAAAAATAATGCATTTTTGCATATACATTTTGATGGATATTTGGATTCTCCGAATAATTTACACTAAGATTTTAACCTTATTAGTTGGCACATACAATTATTTTATCAACATGATTATACTGAAGTTCCCATTTTATAGATTTTTTTTGCAAATTCAATATATTTTTACCTAGTTACTTATAATTTGCTTCTGTTACAGGTTGTGCCGGAAGAGTCTACACCGGAAGTATAATTCAGGTTGGTATCAACCGGAAACTGGCTGCATTTCCTGTAAATGTCTGCACCCGTTACGTTTAGTTGTGCACCGATTCTCATCTTTCAACTGTGTGTCTTCGTTTTACTTACGGGATTAATTAACACACAAAGTAAAGTTTCCTAGTTGTGTTGAACAGCATTTAATTTACTATGCGAGAAGTGTGCTATTTTATTAGGGCGTGAAAAATAATGACGTTTTTAAGTCTGCAAAATTTTTTTTTGATTGGAGATTGGATGTAACAAAAAGAAACCAAACTTTCACGGAGTCTATTGGTTTGTACTTTAATCATGTCATAACTTCAACTACTTTAAAAGTGTTTGATCAAAACTCTATAAAGTACTGCTCCTAGTTATAAATATTAAAATGTCTTTAACAACTTCACATTCACTAAACGTATTAAACATTTCCAACAATGCTTTTTCAACGCTAAAATACTCCACGAATCCCCTAACCTCTAGTGACAACTCGTGCACGCAATATCGATAACAATTAATCAGTGAGTTTCTAATTGTAGACTTAACATTCTACATACCACACGCCACACGAACGAACAAATCACGAATCACTTTCCACGAGTGAATGCGAAGTTTCGAATTATCGGATTGATATCGAAGAGCGTGCAACATTACCGCGATGGGCTACATTGATACACTATAGTGCGATACGATTGTAATCGATATCGATTGTTGTCAGGTGTGGGATTTCAAAGACAATCGATAACTTATCGATATAGATCGTCTGTGTGATATTCATTGGGATTGATCATTTTAGGGTTTCAAGGTCAAAAGTTCAGGGGATTGTTTGTGTAGAGATAAATAGATACTGTAATTTATTGTTGAAACTTGACCACTATGAATTTAGGGTATTGCTAGGATTTTGACTGATTGTTTGGAAATATCCTACAATTATTTAAATACTACCAAAATAATGAATTCAAGAACCTCGACTTGTTGATACCCAGGGAAAAGGAAATTAAGGTTCCAATTGTTTAAAACATAGAATGTTATTTTTTAATTTAAGCCTTTGTTATTGGGTCACATAAAATAGAAGTATCATAGTTAAACTACTCTTGATTGTCCAGTCACATTATAGAGAATCACAATATTATTTTCTTCTCAAAATAATGATAAATAAAATACTGAATCCAATTTTTACTAAACAGTTTGGTTTTGTAGTAATGTTTTTAAATATTTATTTAAAAAAACTGTTTAGGATATTCATTTAACTAAAGGATCATCATGTTTACTGAAATATAAATCGTAAAATATACAAATGTCTCATACGTATAATCAATTCAATAAATAATTAATAAAAATCAATTTATTACTCGATTTCATATTAAGCCATCAATTTTGTATTTATTACAAGCTAAAACATGAATATAGAATGAAGAGTAGAATGGATGGATGGCATGTACGGGTTTTTTGCTGATTAGCTTGTTGCTTTACCCAAAACCTATACAATTATTAAAAACATATGGCCCTTATGTCAACCCTTTGGAAGTTACATAATGACCCAGAAGTTCACAGAAAAAAATAATAACTTAACCAATATAAGTAATAGCTTAAACATTTGTTATAGTTAATCATGACAACGATTTCGAACGTGTATTTGTAGTGACTTCCGGTCACCTATTTTACCAAATCAGTATACGTGAATGATTATATCGATTGTTGGTATCGCTACCACAACAACCGAATGAGATGACCACACATGGCCACCCACGCACGAGCTTTGCTAGATTGAAGGTCAAATCTCTGTAATTTTCAGTCAAAGGTCACTAATGTCTTATTTTTCCTTGATCCTCCTCTAATATCTTCATAAAACCTGATGCGGGTGGAGACCACCTTTTGGGTGGATTTATGAGGGAATTAACTTTTATTTCGTGGTCAGTGAGAGTGGGTAAAATACGGACAAAAATTTGAGAAAGGAAATTCCACGGTTTCATTTATTCCAGGATCATAAATTGTAAAAACGATTATTTATGTCAATATTCAAACAAAATAATAATATTTCAACAATTTTTCTCATTGTTTACCATAAATAACATAATACCGCTACCAAAATAATTTAGATTAAAATTAACAGACTGTCACTTTTTTAACACCATCAAAAATCTATAGCTGAATTTAATTTACAAACGGTAAATAAATAAATTATTGTTCCTTTTTACAATACACGATTTAATGTTCTTTGGTAAATGAGTGCACAATTTGCGCAAGTTTTCGATGTGAAACGAATTCAGTGATACAACACCCTTTTACTTTTCAAAAGTTCATTTGTTTTAAAAAGCTTTACGTGTATAAAACTATTAATTTTCAATAAATTTTATATGTTGATAAATTTAGGTGACTTCAATGAAGTTCCAATTATCACTTCAGGAGGCTATTTCTATTTTAACTTATTTCCATGCCCTGTTTCGTCCCTTCTGTTGGGAGCAATTAATTTATTCTTATTGTTTACATTTTTTTTAATATAAACTAAATACGACTATAAATTATACACAAATCAATTGATATTTTTAGTTTTAAATACTTTAAATATTACAACCAAAATTACTACTTCAGAAAAAAATAACATTTCAAGTTATTTAAATCCAACAAAGGTGACAAAAGTAAATAGTTTTATTTGTAAGATACATCAGTTTAATAATATATGAATATTGTCAATTTTATTTAAATTTTCATGCCTATTTTTATCGTTAAATGTGAGCCAAACTTTAGCTAGGTTAATTTTATGAATTACTGGCATTAAAACAAAATATGTTCTACCATAGTTTCTTAAAAGCGGACGGCGCCTTCAAGACAGGCTACGCAATGCTCAGCACAGAACATTTGTGAGATTGCGTGTGTCAGATTGCAGGCACCTTGTGAGTCTGTATTATTCTCGAATGGGAGAAAATATCTCGTTAAACATTATCAATTATACAGGGTGATTTGTACTCAGTGTGACAAAATTTTTTTGGTGTAAGTACAACGTAAATGAAGTGTGATGATGCATATCAAATGTTCCAAGTCTAAAAATTAGCTTCCCAAAAAATTATTTTATGTTTTTCAAAAATAACCATGCTTTTAAACTTAATACAGCGATTTCTCAATTACCTGTATATGGATTTGAGTAGATAATGTCATTTTCGTGTTCTACATTAAATTTTGAACAAGAATAATGGAAAATGACGGAGGATCAGCTGAAAAAACTCCATTGTAAATAGATTCAAAGATAAAAATTAAGATATTTGATAAAAATTTCAAAAACAATGGTCTATTGCATTTTTCACACCCTGTATACAAGAAAGTGTCGGAATATGTTAAAAACTGCGCCATTTTATAAGCTTTCCAACCATATGCTACACTATTGAGGTTTAGATATTTTTTTGTTTGTTTTAGCGGTTTGAATACCAGAAAACAGGGAACTTTTTTACTGTTTTTACTGTTCAAGCTGAATCAAAAATACATTTTTTGCTTAATACATGCCGACTTTCTATGTTTTAAATGTTAAAGACACCATGCTTTGTAGTCTTCAAACCATTAAAGCGTACATAAGCAGACATAAACCTCAATAGTGTAGCATATCGTTGGAAAGCTTATGAAATGGCGCAGTTTTTAACATATTCCGACACTTTCTTGTATACAGGGCGTGAAAAATGCAATAAACCATTGTTTTTAAAATTTTTATCAGACATCTTAATTTTTATCTTTCAATCTATTTACAATGGAGTTTTTACAACTGATCCTCCGTCATTTTCTATTATTCTTGTTCAAAATTTAATGTAGAACACGAAAATTACATTATCTACTCAAATCCATATACAGGTAATTGAGAAATCGCTGTATTAAGTTTAAAAGCATGGTTATTTTTGAAAAACATAAAATAATTTTTTGGGAAGCTAATTTTTAGACTTGGAACATTTGATATGCATCATCACACTTCATTTACGTTGTACTTACACCAAAAAAATTTTGTCACACTGAGTACAAATCACCCTGTATAAAGCGTATTGAAAATGTTTATAAATTATGATTATATTGTAAATATTTTTAATTTAATTTCTAAACTTAAACATTACCAATACACTTTTATTACTTATGAATTTTATGTCTGTATATACAACAACTAAATTTAAAATTTGTATGTTTATTTTATTAGTTTTTAGTTCGGATGCTCAACTAACTGCCATTTTTTATTAAATACAGCTTTACAATTACTATTGCGTTTGGTAAGGTAGTTTTCTTATGTAATAATACCACCGTCACAGCAAACCTCTAAGCGGATTTCCATTAGACTAATTAGATTTTGACAAAAAAATTTCCTTAAAATTGCCAGATTTATTCCGTATTTAAATAACATAAGATTTTACTAGTACAGACCCTCATTACTGCTACGGGGAGGGGAAAGTGTTTTAGCGAATTTCGAAATATTAGGAAAATTCGGAATACATATTAGCGAATAATTTTGGTCTCTTAATCTACTGCAGAAAAAAAAACAGTTGCACACACTTACCATTGATTATACAGGCAAATCTGAATCATTCTTTTAGCGAATTTCCCATATAAGGATTAAGCTATTACTGTAGTACTCATGGTAAGACCTGGACCCGGGGCCTATTTACTTTTTCGTTTTGAGGTCCCAAGAGACCAAAAGACACAATCCGTTCAAATGCGTATATATGTGTGTCCGTTAGCACGATAACTCGAGCAAAAATCATCAGATTTTGATTAAATTTGGTATTTGGAGCTCGCCAACCAGCATGATCGGACAATGGGTACGGGGTTTATGGGGGGATTTATGGGGTAAAAATTTGTTTTTCCTATTTTTCACCTAAAAAAAACTTAAAACTTAACAAAGTCAGTACAAAATAAATACGTATTTTAAATTTATCTACTTTTTCCTTGCTTTTAGTAGATGGACATGGTGAGATTATTGGGAAAACAAACTTTTAGTACCTTCAATGCAGCGATACCGAACGCAGTAAGTATCCGTT